TAATGAATTTGTTACCAAAGATTGATGTGATCTTAAATGTTTCCCTAAGAATTTAAACACACTTGACTTTAATTATAGCAAAATAATAAAATTATAGAATATATACTCGTAACGCTGCTCTACAGTGGTTTTGTTTACCTAGATATAAGATTGATTTTGGAAATACAGGGTGGCTCACGAATCGTGCTGCAAAAACAAACCGTAATAACTTTTTTTGTTTTAACCAATGAATGAATGAAGAACTATTTTTTTTTTTGTATTGTATAGCAAATTATATTTTATTTTATATAATTAATTATTTTTAAAAATTATGGACCGTAAATAACCTCCATTCTCAGTCACGCATATGCGACAATCAAATAGAAAAATATTCATTGCGGCCTGAAGGGTTGAGGTCGGGATTTCTTCAATTATTGATTTAATGGACAGCTTCAATTCAGTCAGATTTCTGGTTTTTGTTTTGTACACCTCTTGCTTGACATAACCCCATAAAAAAAGTCTGGTGCAGTTAGGTCAGGTGACCTTGGGGGCCAGCGGATGGTGTTTCTTGATATTAATTTGTTTTCAAATTTTCGTTGATTCACTTTGATTCATTTGATATATAGCAAGTATGCTTGTTTACACTTCCGTTTAGATCAAAATGGGTCTCATCAGACATAAACAGGCAATTTATCAAGTTATTGTTTTATTCAGTCATTTCAGTCGTTTTTTGGCAAAATTCCAGGCGAATAGGTAAATCTAGCGTGTTTATCTGGCTTGTTATTTGAACGTTGTACAGAAATAGGTTTAAGTCATCATGAATTATCCGTTGACCGTCTGCTAACTCCAAGTTGCGCCGATAAATTGCGAATCGAAACTCCTAGATTTGCCTGTATTGACGATGCAACAGCCGCGATTGTTTCTTGAACCCGAACATACGGATCTCGATGGTACGGTCTTCTGCAATACTTCAAGATTCGACAAATATGCTTAGCAATCTCATAATGGTCCATCTGCTCGGGGGAGTACCGCCAAATCCCGTCTGAATTCTCTTTGGACGGAAATGACGGACTTCAAAGCATGGTACCGCTGCATTATCCAAACCCTCTTTTCGTTATCCCAAGCATTCACTTTTAAAAAATCTAAATAATAACCTGCCAAATAGAGCAAAAGTAAGTCGATTACTCGCACAGAAAAAAAGTTATTACGGTTTGTTTTGTAGCACGAGTCGTAAGCCACCCTGTATTTGTACCGACAGTTCATAAAACTAGCAATGATTTTGTAAGATTTGCTCTTGCTTAGTTTTAAATCCTTATTTTCATTTTACATTACAAAAATCCGAAGTCATGATCAAAATAGTAGATATATAAATAGATCAGTTTTGAAAAATAAGGATACGTCAAAATAAACAGAGAGGAAATCGTCGAAAACATATTTTATACTTCAGTTAAAGCTCTTTTTATGAACATTATAATTTTCGAGTTGACAATTTCTTTTTAAGAACCAGCAGTAATCTGTCATCATATCACGATCTTATCAACTTTGATTCCTTCCTTTCATCACTTTTAAATCCTGGTGGATCCGCACTCTCTGTTCCTTACTATCCAAAACTCCTCCTCCAGTCCCTCTCAACCGGTGTGAGGGGTTCCATACAGCACTCCTCAGACAGGCTGCCTGGGGCTACAAGCGTGCTGTCACCTCCTAATCCAACGTGTTATGCGATTCCCGTGCCCATTGGATGATTTGCAGCCAGGAGGTAAATTCGGCTGCATTTTAACAGAGCCTTCTCAACACCGGGTCGGCTTGAGAAGTAACTGTGGCCCTACCGCATCAAGGGACTCTGGCGCGGCGGACTTTTATGTTCCCCCTAAAACAGAATAGACCTGGAAGCTCACCATGTTGATCGGTCGTACGAACCAGCGTGCATATAAACAAAAAATAAAAAAAAGCCCAAAAGACAGAGCAACAACGACGACATCAACAGCAACCACCAAAAACGATAACAACATCAGAATGCAATGCGTCCGTTGCAGGTAAGAGGGGACCAGGAGCTAGGTGCACGTTCAGCTTCCTTCAAAAGGCGTCTACTGCAACGGATGCAGGGGTAATGCAGTTGCGGATCCCACAACAATCTCTTCAAGCAGGTTTAGCTGCTCGGAGGCGGACGACCCCAAACGGGACGGGACAGAAGGTGCGTGCAAGAGGAAGAGGAAACCAGGGGGAAATGCCCCCAGAACCGGCAGCGGGATGCCCGGGTGGCCCTGATGATCTTCGCAGTAGAGGCATGAGCGGTGCCACTCTGCTATGGTACCTCAGGCACTTGCAGGACCCGGAGGAAGCATTGAAGCTCTCTTCATGCAGAAAAAAACGCCGCGTCCGTTGCTGGACGCGAGAATTAGAGACGCAGACTAGTTAACACAACCCCGTCTGGGATACGAGGAAGGAAAAGGGTTGCACCACTGAACGCAACAGGACAAACCGCGAAACGTAAGAGCGGGCAGATAACGCCTCAAGAACCCACAAATTCAAAAAGTCAAAAGGGGAATTAGCCAGCGGCGATCGAAGGACAACGTTCCGCTCCAAATCCAGCCCTTAAGGCATACGGATGGCGGTGCTGCCTCGCAATTACCCGGCGGAGGTTTTGGGATCGGAGGAACTGACTGCACTGCAAGAGAGCGTCATGGATGAGGTTTATAATGGTTGTGGTTACACCGGCTCATTCCATGGTGTCTACTTCAGATCAGAAATGCTGCTAGTCGACTGCAAAGACGAAAAAACGGCCACGTGGCTTGCGGAGATCGCTTCGAATCTAGAAGGATGAAAAGGCCCGGTCCTATGCGCGAAGAGGAGTGAAGATATACCGCCAAGGCACAGCATGACGGTGTCTCTTCCCAGGAGCGCAGGAAAACCCTACGAGTTGCGCTTGGTCTCATACGTAACAAAATGAGAGGCTCAGTACCTCAGCTTGGAGGGTTTGACAGCAGCATGAAGGACGCCGCATGGAGGCTCAACATCACCATTGATGATGAGTCCTACAAATTCATCAGGAAGAAAGGATTTAGGCTGAACTCTAGGTTCAGCAGTGTGATAACGAGACCTTGGAAGCCTAAAACCACAGCGGCGGAAGGGACGGCAGAGGAGGCAATGCTGGTGGATGAGGCGCCCACTCAGTACGGCACCGGCACACAGAGCAGGTTGCTACTAACACTGCTCTGTACCAACTAACGGCTGAAATCCAGAACTCGCTGGAGAATAATGAGATGGCGATATGTGCTTTCCTAGACATTGAAGATGCTTTTGATAATACGATCTCTTCCGAGCTTTAGAACTCTATCCCTTGGTGGCAGAGAGCTAGAAGTGTCTAGGGAAGTTAAATACCTAGGTCGCACACTAGACTCTACCTTGCGGTGAAATAAGCACGTGGAGTTAACACTATCCAAAGCCACAAAGGCATTCAGGGTGTGCAGACGCCTGGCCGGCAGATCCTGGGGCTGCAAGCCAAATGAGAGCCTTGCAGTAAAATTCGCAACTGGCCTTTCTTTCAAGAGACGGCGTAACGAAAAGGGTAAACTTTACGAAAAAGTTTAAAGTACCTCTCAACAGTAAGGCGGTCTGGAGTGGGGGTAAGGATCCACCTAATAAAACCTGATAGGTCGGGGTGTTTGTGTGGGGCGCGTCGTGAAGACTGGGTTCACTTGATCGCGGAGTGCCCGATGTACTCGGACATTAGGGATCTAGGGGGTATGGGGATTAGCTGGACTGATGAACGGTTAGATGTTAGCGGTGTGATCTCCACTAGTCGGAATGCCGAACAATTAGGGTCGTTTGCGCGTGAATTTTTTAGGCGGCGGAGGCGTTTAACTGTGCGTTAGGGTTAGCTTCTTGTGTGAAAGGTGTGTGCGTGTAATGTGCGTATGGGGTTCAACCCTTGGTTACCAGTCCAGAGCTGTATGAAGGCTCAACTGGTAGTAGCTTCGGCTACGAGGTCTGACCGGAGACTTAATTCTGGTACCACGGGGAGCAGGGGCCCTTGGAGTTCGCTCCAACCTGCTCGTGCGGACTGGCCCTTCGGGGAGTATCGTGGTGGTTGTGGTTTATACCCAAATGCGGGAAGAACTGACGTTTTGTCAGTTGAATGTGGAGTTGCATTGCAACCAGGTGCCGGACCCAAAGTACGGCAGAGGTTTTAGATAGGCCTCGAACCTTACCAAGGTGTGTAGTGTGTCCATCCCACACTACCAATCGGTACTGAAAAATGCCTAGCATTTTCGGGGCGCTGATCAACGCATTGTATTGATACGCTGTGCTTTTGAGCGCCGTGAGATAAGGCCGTCGACGGCAGGTACTCACGTTAAACACACCGGACGTTGTTGAGAGGCACTACCCCTGCGGGCAGGGGATAGAATATGCCCGCGGCAAGGCATACCTGTCGTTAAAGGCGACTAAAAGCCAATATGCACTATGACTGTTATTATATACCTTGCTCAGTAATATCAGCATAGTATGTTTAGGAATAGTGCTATAATACTCAGCTTGAACTGATATTATAAACACTTTAAATGAAAAAGCGAATAAAAAGACATTTGAAGTTCAAGCGACAAATGTCACCAGTCATTTGAGTAATGGGTTGCTCAACTGGCAGTAGTTTAGGCTACGCAGTCTGACCGGAGACTTTCCGGTACCACGGGGAGCAGAAAGCCCTTGGACTTCTGTTCAATCTGCTCATTGGGTTCGGCCCTTTGGGGAGTATCGTGGTGGCTGTGGCTTAAACCTTAATGCTGGAAGAACTGAAAATTCAGCTTAACTGTTTTTTCAGTTCTAAAAAGAAATTGCAAAGCAAAACGGAAGAGGTTTTAGGTCGTCCTCGAATCTTACCAAGATGGTAGTGTGTGCCCAGACACACTGCCACTGGTATCCAAATAAATACTTGCAAATAGCTCGTATTGTTTGGGGCGCTGATCAACGCATTGTTTTGATACGCTGTGTTTTTGAACACCGTGAGGTAAGGCCGTCGCCGGCAGGTACTCACGTAAATCAACAACGAAAGTTGTTGTGAGGCACCGGTACAAGCATTAGCCATTGCATTTCGGCTGAGTTGACCTTTACGATTATTCCTAATGGGAATAACTCGTTGGTGTATCTTTTGGTAGCCGGGAATGGCTTTCGGGCCATCCAAAAGATTCGTTGTTTGGATTAATTGGTGATTTTTTCGATTCTCTATGTCCTTGGCATATTTGTTGACTTCAAAGGGGCATTTGATTACCTAAGCTGGGATCGAGTGTTGCAACGGCTGGAGGAGCTTGGCTGTCCGGAAATTCCTCTAGCCGGAGATCGGAGTGGTCCGTGGCTGTCCTCAGCGATCCATTTGCGGTCCATATATTTGGAACCTCATGATAGACTCTCTGCTTGGACAGCTCGAGCCCCTCTGTAAATGTTGTGCGAATGCGGACGACCTTCTCCTTCTGGTTGAAGGTCGAGCGCGATTGGAGTTTAGCGCACGGGAGAACAATTTTTAGAAATTGTAAATAGTTGGAGTTTAGGTGTGGGGGTTGACATATCGATGGACAAAACGGTGACAATGCTGCTTAAGGGCAGATTGTCGCCGGTTCGTCCACCGATTGTCTGGGTGAATGGGGTCAGCATCAGGTATGTGATGCAAATCAAATACCTGGGGCTGACCATGAGTGAAAGGATGTGTTACTCCACACTTGGCAAATCTGAAAGAGCGACTGCAGGCGATCGTAGGCAAAGTGCGACGCATTTTGAGGAACGATTGGGGCCTTGGACGCCGTGCTGTTCGTACCATATATCGTGGTCTATTTGTGGCTTGTGCCACTTATGGAGCCGTAATATGGCGGGGATCAGCGATGACAGTCTCTGGTCGTCGAAAACTCCTCTCAGTGCAACGTTGCATGATGCTTGCATGTCTGCCTCTATGTCGCACTGTTTCCACGGATGCGATGCAGGTTTTATTAGATGCACCCCCTCTTGACCTGATTGTTGTACAGCGAGCTGTTTCATTCAGCTTAAGAAGGGGCTTGAGTGTGTCATTGCTGCGGAATGATTGGATTTCCGATGATGATGTGGAGAGGGAGGGATTTCTATGGAGCAAGAGGCTTCTAGAGGGTAGAGTTAGGAGTAGGTGGCAAGACCGTTGGGGCAATAGTCCTAACGGTCGGGTGACTTATGAGTACATCCGGGACGTTAGGTTCGTTGAGGGTAACCCAGACTTCAGATTTTGTCTGAGTCCACACTACCAATCGGTACTGAAAAATGCCTGGCATTTTCGGGGCGCTGATCAACACATTGTATTGATACGTTGCTCCTTGGAGCACTGTGAGGTAAGATCGTCGACGGCAGGTACTCACGTTAAACACACCGGACGTTGGACGTTGTTGAGAGGCAGCAAGGCCGTCGACGGCAGGTACTCACGTAAGTCCCACGAAAGTGGTTGAGAGGCAGCACTATTCAGTGGTACACTGACGGCTCGAAAACACCGGAAGGAATTGGAGCTGGCATTGCGGGACCGCAGACCAAGCTTTCCATACTCATGGGATATTTTTCGAGCATCTTTCAAGCAGAAGTATTTGCCATATGTCAGTGTGCAGTAATTAACCTGCAACGCAGCTTTCGCAATAAGAGTATTGCTATACTCAGCGGAATCCAAGCGGCGCCATAGCTCAGCGTGCAACCGTGTACACCTGATCTGGGTGCCGCGGTAGCCGGCAACGAGTTGGCCGACGTACTCGCCCGCTCTGCTGCTGCATCTAGAATCATGGACCCAGAACCATGCATTGCGGTGGGGTTTCTTACAATAAAGGAGCTGCTCCTCATGGATGAGAGAGTGGGCACAGAAAGTCACTGGAAGCAAACAACAGATATGCGCCATGCTAAACTGCTACTGGGATGGTACAACCTAGCGAGGTTTAGAGCTTTAATAAACCTCCCCAGAGACAAATTCTGGCTCCTTGTCGCGCTCTACACTGGGCACTGCAGCTCAAGAAACATCTGTCCAACATGGGCATAGCTTCTTGTGGAACCTGCCGGTTCTGCGACATGAAGCCAGAACACCAGGACACCTGATTCTAAATTGCACAGCAATTTGTAGACGCAGGCTCAAGGCCCTCATTACCTCAATAGTACTCAGCAGGTTTCTGGAGTTTATCAGGATACTGGGACTTTGGGAATACATGTGATGGTGGAGAGGGGACAATAGACCCTAGGTCGCGGTGCAAACCTCATACTATTCTAATTCTAATTCTACTTTTCAAAAGTATCCGAAAATTTATTCAGAGGACTCATATTTGCTCTTAGAGTATGAAAATGTATCATGATATTTTACTCAGTTTCGATCTTGGCGATTTATGGTTACCTTGGAAATTTTCGACTATCAACACAAAACTTTTCCAAATTTCAATTTCCGGAACAGTCATAACCTTGCTAAAATCTGTATCTTTCATTAATTGCCGTATTTGAAGAACTTAAAATATTCCACCTCTCCACTTTTCCTTACTAAGCTTCGGAAATTTTCTAGAAACCGAATTAAAACAATATTCTTCCACGTCCAACGCTTTGACAAATTGCTTTATCATTCCGAGCTTTAAACACGGAGTGTATTTTGAGAAAATAACTTTGGCGTAGATGCTCCATCGACTCATCGGTAAACTGTACCGATATCTGGGAATTTAACGACATCATTGTTTCTGAGTAGTACATGCGAAATTTCCATTGAGTAAACTAAAATTTTGTAGACTGTCCCAGCCAAACCGCGACGAATGGTCAGCTAAGTCTGAACCTTAATCCTCAAGAAATGAAAATCAATATATTGCCGCTTCTCTGATTGACTTTTTCTCATATGCCTAATACCTATTTCAAATTTAGCCACTTTGGTTGAGTTTTTATGACAAACAATATATCTCATTTTAGACAGATTTTAATATGAATATGAGGGCCATGAAGCAAAACATAATAATTAATAAGATACCAAATATAATTGCATTCCTTTCAAGCTTTCGTTGAATAATGAATGTGGAATTATTTCGCAACATTTATTAATATAAATTATAAATAAAATAAACAAAGAAATAGTCGCTTAATTGAGGGTTGGACCCTGAATGGTTGGACGCTCTGGTTAAAGCACATGAAAAAAAACCATAAGAAAATATTTATGTAAGAAAGATAATTTAATTTGATGTTGAAGGTTAAAATAGCAAGAAACTTCCTGTAGTAATTCACAGCTCTATATGTATCTACAAATATACATTGTTGTCGGTAGACACGACACTATTATGTAACAAACTTTCCTTTTATTACTCATTCAATTAAAATGACTTACGAATGAAAGGGTCTCTAGTCGGATACACTATCACATCTTACGTTCTACCACAAAGCCAAATTTTAATGCGACCTGCGTCAATTTGTATATTTCTGACAGCAACCCTCATAAAAGATATAAATTCCAAAACAATTAACAAGCAAGATAAGCATGACATCTGCCATTCGCTACAGTTTAGATCGCCTCAGCACATTGTCTTACTGGCGAACCAATACATACTCTTACAGTGACCATTAACTTTTTCCACCACATTGCAGGATTGTTAGTATCATTGCCACTGATGAAGATGGTCATGATAATGATGGTAATTTGCAAGCATCCACAGCTAACGGCACGGACCGGAAATGGGAAAATAAGCCGGCATAGGAAGAATGGATAGCAATCATGGAAATTGAACACAACCAAAATCAATTTAGCAAACCCGAAATGTAGATAAATAAAAAAAGAACAAGTAAGAAAGGGTTAAGTTCGGGCGCAACCGAACATTTTATACTCTCGCAACTTGTAAAGATCAAAGCCAGAAAATATGAAGGTATTGGCAAAAGTTTCTTTTACCAATGTTAATCTGAATTAATATTATATTATATAATATACATCATATTTTACTCCCCGTCAGCTAAAATTATTGGGAAGTCGAAAATCACTATATAGTGTATATTGAGGGCAGAAAAGGTCTGAGCAAATTGCACAAACTTTTGATATTACTTAGGTATATTCGAGAACATATTTTCAGGCAGTTTTATAAACATACAACTCCCACATTGACCGACATATTCCGCATAAGCTTTGTTAGAATTACGAAAATCATTATACAAGTACTTGTATGTACAATAGTATATGGAAGTTGGATTAATTCGTAGACTAATTTCACATGTCTTCGGCATAAAAATATAGCATGTCCAATATTATACGCTCAGTTAATTTTGTTAGGTATATGGAAGATAGGGGTAGTATTGACCTGATTTTATCCATTTTTGACATTACCACATATTATTAACAGAATAAAAGTTTCATTAAGGTACCTCACATACCATCACCAATATATAAATAATAAACTCAACTAATCCTGGTATTAATTATGTAGGTACAAGGCAAGTTTTCACCCGATTTTATCCATTTTAAGCACAAAAATAAACTGTTATCAGAAAAACTCGCTCACTTACTTTTACTAAGATAACTCACATATTGGCCGATATAAAGGTTGAAAAGTTGGTTGGTCTCACCAAGAAATAGCACTACTAGCTCCAAATTTTTTTCTTTTCAAATTGGTACACCTGTCGTGAGAACAAATGCAAAGTCACAAGTCATTCTGTCAATTAATTAATTGTTTACAAGCCATTTGATGTTGTTTTAAATTTTTTTATATTGAAAAAATTTAATATCGCGCAGTAATTAGATTGAAAAAATTTAATATCGCGCAGTAATTAGATTCTTTAGTTTGAAAGGTTTAAAAGAAGAGGAAATGTATAAACAATTGTTAGTAGTGCATAAGGAGTCCTCACCTTCAAAACACATCGTTGAATTTTGGGCTGGTGAATTTAAACGTGATCGTACTAGGCTTAGAGACAATCCACGCGAAGGACGACCAAAAACCGTAACCACACCAGAAATCATTGGGTAAGTGCATAATATTTAGTGAAGATGCAAGTTTGACTAAGCCTGAAATTGCTAATGCCATAGGCATCTCAGACGAACGGGTACTTCAAATTTTACATAGAGAATTACGTATGAAAAAGCTGTTTGGAAAGTTAGTGCCGCACACGTTAACAATTCAACAAAAACTGGATTGAAAACCAATTTCTCCGTATAATTTGGAACATTTTAAGTAGAATGATCCTAAATTGAATCAAGAACGTTTACAGTTGACCAAAGCTGGTTGTTCAGCTCCAAAGCAGATGAAGTCACAACGATCAGCAAAAAAGGTTATGGTATGAGTTTTTTGGGATGCAAAAGGAATTATGTTGATTGATTTTTTGCAGAAAAGTAAAACAATCAACTCAGAATATTATTGCAGCCTTTTGGATCAGCTGGATGAAAAAATTTGTGAGAAAACACTTGGTTTGCAGCACAAAAAAAAATAATTTTTCATCAAAACAATAGACCTGCTCTTAAAGGTGTTTTAACAATGACAAAATTCAACAAATTAAAGAACGAATTGCTTGGGCATCCACCGTGTTCTCCAGATTTGGCTCCCAGCGACTACTACATCTTCAGAAACCTGAAACAATTCTTTCGTGGAAAGCGTTTTTCGCAACATGAAGAAGCTATTACAGCCGTAGACGGGTATTTTGCAGAGCTTCCGGAAAGTCATTATAGGGAAATAAGGATATTGAAGTTAAGGGAGATTACATTGAACAAACAAATTTATTTTGTATGCGGTATAAAGTCAGCCGGTTCTTTCGAACTTTCTATTAGGTATATTTTTATCTAAGGGAATTATTGATCGAGTCTACCCATTTTTGACATACAGACAAATAATTATCAGATAAGGATTTTCTCCAAATTTATATAATATGCCTCACAAATCGACCGATATTTTCGATAAAACGTTCCAATGATACCCCTCGCATTTTTATATCTAAATAATAATTTTTAAAGCTTACACGAACGGTCGAATGGACAGAGGTACATTCACCCGGATTTCGACTCGTCTCGTCATCCTGATCGTTTATATATTACTCTATATGTCTCGATTATTTTTAGGTGATACAAACAACAACAAAACTATTATACTCTGTAGCAACATGTTGCAAGAGTATTAAAACTGAGATGGTCACATTTGCCCTCGCACTACATGGTGCGGCATGGCAAATATGGCAATAAAGTTGAGAAAATCATATAAGTAATAAAATTTTTCTGCCATGGTTGAGGGCCACAATGAATAAACTTGCTATGAATGGTCAGAATGTATCCATTTGGGTCATTTTAATCAATTTCGCATGCTTCGCAACGAAATAGAATGTTTGCTCGAAAAATTTTTGTGTTCATTAATCAGCTAACATTGAGCTAAAAATCCATATAAAACAAAGAAAAACAATGTCGTAATCATTTAAGGCATGTAAAGAAATTGACCAAGCAAAGGATAGCGGAAGTAACTATTAAGAGCGTGATTCAGTAACTGAAAGAGACAGTAACGCAAAGAGCTGAAAATAAATAAAAGATATAATTCAAATCGAACTGTACAATCTTGATAAAAAAGAGAGAAGTTGAGGGGGTTGTTGCATTAGTAAATTATAAGTAAAAGACAATTTCATTTTAGCAACAAATGTTAGGGTGACTGTCAGCGTTCCTCTACTTTAAAAACTTACTTCTTAGAGTTAAATTACCATAAAACCACATATATATATATGTAAACTTTTTCCTTGACTGTATGTATAAAAAGATAAGTAATTCTAAATATATATTTGGTTCTGAGAGTAAGAAATGTAGTATAAAAACACATTTCCTATGCCTTTATTCCGAGCATGACTTTAAAATGACATACACACAAGTAAGTGCGATTTTACATATATACATATGATTACATGTTTAATTCAGTTACGAAAAAATTATGATCTAAAGATGAATATTAGTACTAACATAGAGATGCAGATATATGCTTACTTTGAAAAATGTCATTTGTATGTACCTCAAATGTCTATACTTGTATGTATGTACAAGTATATGCTAACCTATAACATGGTAGATACTTAAATACAGAATACTTAAAATGCGAGTATTATCGAAAAGAACGTGTACCCGTGAAATAGACTTAATTGATTAGTTTATTGTGTAAAAGTTTTAGTGGAAAGAGTTGGAAAATGATTCGGTAAATACTTCAATAATTTTTATACTCTTGCAACATGTTGCTACAAAGTATAATAGTTTTGTTCACCTAACGGTTGTTTGTATCACCCAAAACAAACCGTGGTAGATAAAGGATTATATATACATATATAAATGATCAGGATGAGGAGACGAGTTGAAAAGGCAAGAGAGTTTTTTAAGTGTTGAGATCTAAAACTGCTCAGCTACAGAAACAAAAATTTCAACAGCTAAGATTTATAGTTACAATATAATAAATTGTTACATTTTCATTCATTAAGAGAAAACAATAAAGTCTTTTTAATTTTGAAAAGTGAGTCAGATAAGTCAAATGTGCTGGAATGAGAATTAAAATCATGACATATACGGAGGAATGGCTCATTTAGTTCAAAATTTTATCTACAGGATTTTAGCAGTAAAGCTCTAAACTGCCTCGAAAAGCGAACCGGGATATTAAATTTAATTTCAGACAGGAGAAAAGAACTGCAAACTGTTTTATTCAAAATTTTCACTAAGAATATTATGACAAGCATTTCCCTACGACTAGAAAGTGTAGGTAGATTAATAAGTTTTAAACGACTAGTGTATGGAGTAATATTATATAACTTCCCTATTTTTAAAAACATTTTCGCTCGGAAGAAACACTTCATTACATTATTTTAACAATCGAAGCTAGATGCTTTCTACATGTCTGTTTAAAAACATGTTGTCGAGAAGCCATTTTTTCCATCAATTCTTTCACTTTCTTTTTTCATCTTTCACTGGTAATATTTGCATATAATACAAGAAAATTTTGCTTTAAACATCGCAATCGCAACGCACAACAGATAAAAGTATTTATTAAAAAATTATTGAAAATTAAGTCAAATATTTTCCCGAAACATTTTCCAACCCTTTTTTTCACGATTATTGTAACTAATAAATTAAGTACATTTCCCTAGTTAACAAAACTGTTTACGTGTTTGTGTTTTAATGTCATTTTACAGTTTTTCTATGTTTCTACGTGGTTTAAGAAGTGATGTTTTTTATTTAGTGTGAAGTACAATCAATACAATTAAGTTCTGAATATAACATCATTTAAATGGCCTTCACAACTTCTTTTGCAGGAACGAATTCGATTAACCCAAATTTGGGGTACTTTTTCACCAAATCAAGTCGTATGTCATGAATAGCACGTTCAATATTGACTTCTAAAGCTCGAAGAAGTTCAGGTTTATTGCTAAAGACCAAATGATTTCCAATAAGAAGTAGTCCAATGGTGTTAAACCACAACTTCTTGGAGGTCATTCAATGTCACAGCTTCTTGAAATTATCGAATCTTCAAACTTTTCTCGCAATCATTCGGTTGTTGCACGTGCTGTGTGGCACTTGGCCCCATCTTTTTGAAACCAGATATTGTCAAGATCAACTTCTTCCAATTGCGGCTATTAAAAGTTGGTTATCATCGATCTATACCGCTCTCCATTGAAAGTAACGGTGTCACCAGCTTCATTTCGAAATAAGTACGGACCGATGATTCCACCAGAACAAAAATCACACCAAACTGTCAATTTTGTGGAATGTAATTATTATTCATGAATAATTTGTGGATTTTCTTCGCACCAGAATCGACAGTTTTGACACAAACACAGCGCACAAAAAGTTGCAATGGGAGAGCGATTATTCTGATAATAAAATTGAATAATTTTTAAAGGTTGTTCTTGCGTTTATCTTTCCATGATAAAATTGTAAACATTACTGAATACAATGAAAAAAAATTACAGATCATGACATATGAAAAATGGCCGAAACGACTCTTAGAAACCATATAATCCCTATGGGAAAACCCGACCCTGACCATTCGTCTTGGTTTGGTCGGGACAGTCCCGGATTCCGAGTTAAGCCGTCCCGGGCTTAAAAATTACAAACAAAAAGAAAATTTCTCAATAAACAGAATAAAAATACAACAATGTAGATGGGCCACCCTGTATGTTCTATTTCTACATTCTACATTCGGCTAACGTCAGCGTTGTTCACTGGCAGCTCATTACTTTCATTCAACATTCAAAATGAAACATAAAACAATTTTGTTAATTTGAAGCATAAATATTTAGAAATAAATATCAATTTGTGAAATGTAGAAACGAAAGTGTGTTTTCAGTGATGATTTGAAGAAGAACTATCATTTTTTGAGAGTCACTTATAATGATTCTAACGTTCGTTGCGACAAATGTAATGCAACTTTTTCGGTTGCTACACACAATTAATAAGAATCGCAGTTTTAGGTTTGTTTTTCAAAAAATCATTTAAAAAACAACAGTTATCGTCCGATTTTCAAACTTGTTATTGTAGATCAAACGACTGCGCAACCAAAATATTTCGAACCTGTTTCCAAATGAAACAATAATCGTGTTCAAGAACAAAAAGTGAAGCGATAAGCACCATACGCAATGGAATGCCTCAAGTCTGATTTACATAAAGCCCGATTTATTTGTTTGTTGACCGACGCTTCCAATCGGAAAACAATCAAGATGTTTCCTGTGTTTTCTTCCATTATCTGGAGTTAATGGTAAAATAATTGAACTTTCACAAGAAAAAGGTGAAACGTCGGATATAAACTTTTCATTTAATAAAAGAGCCTTGAAAATTTTTAATTTGACTGTTAATAGATCGCTTACTGAGGTGACAATGCGCTAATTAATTTCGATCGCGTTGATCGGAAAAGTGAAGGATATGTTTTTGCAAAATTAAAGAAATTAAAATCGAACATAGTTGGTGTAGGTTTTCCAGCGCATATCGTGCATAATGCGATTCGTAACGCATGGATTGCACTTGATGTTGAAATAGAGAGCATTTTTGTTCAGATCTGCACGCGTTTTTACATCCACACAATTCGCACAAAAGCCTCAAAGTCAGTCTGCGAGATTTCTGAAGACGAATACGATTGACTGGTTGGTTACTGCAAAACTCGGTTCATTGGCTTGAGAGAAGCTTTGGGGAAAATCATTCGAATGTTCCATCGTTTGAAAACGAATTTCGACGACCTTCTTTCACCCCTCAAAAAAGCCAGATATATCCGCAATTTTTCAGTAATCCACTTTCTAAGCTCTGGTTCATTTTTGTTCATGAACAGTTGAAAATATATTTTTATTAACCGAAATTTTTCCAAAATCAAGAAATGATTTAATTATTATCTCATTAATTTTAGGCCATGATTTTCGAAGAAACAATAAAGAAAATTGAAGGCGATGATATTCCAGCAATTGCTATTTACAAACACTTGCAACATTAAATAAACAATTTGCAAACATCCAACCAACACAATTACTTTCAGTTGCAAGTAAAAATGAAGAAAGAAAACTATGACTTAAAGCAATTTTAAATAGAGGCGAAACAATTTCGAAGTAAGTATATCATTTTACACTTCAATTTCCGTTTTCTCATTATACTCTCGTTTTTAATTGTCTTCATTAGGTCAATCAGGTGATTGCTACGAATATCTTGAGGCATGGACTCAACAGTTTGCTCATGTAAAAGTATTTGGTTGGGTGCTACTCACTGATAAGCTAGACTGGGAAAAAATTGAAAAAACCTTTATTTTCCTCACAAAAAATATAATTTGAAAGCATCACTACTACACTACTTCACATAAGCTGTTCGAACCATTCACTTATATTTCTCAGTATATACAAGTAGGTGACAAACGAATTAATGAATGAAGCAAAGAGCAGACATCCGTTGACAAACGTTGGTTTCAATGTTTTACTTTTCTATTGAAGCAAAACATACCATTCGTATAATATGCAAATATGTATGCATAGAATAATAGAAATATTTTCAAAAGTTGTAAATAAGGAGAAAATTAAGATATAGATTATGGAGTAAAGAAATTATGAATTTTTAATATGGAGTAAAGAAATTATGAGTTTTTAATACTTAAAGATTAGGAAATTCCTATTATAAATTTGGTCTTGAAAATATTAGTAGCGGATATTCAATACATTCTTGTGGATTAGGGAATTCCCGTCTTTAGTATTTCTTTGAAACTATTTAGCGGGTAGGTACTTGTATTATGCATATTGTTCTACCATATTCATGGTAATTCATTGCAAGCAAAATGTGTGACCATCATCTCAACATACAAATGAAATACGCAGCACGCAGTGTTGCGCAGTCGAACCGCACAAATATTTACGAAAATTTTGTGAAAAGGATTGCAGAAAAACTAGACTCGAGTTGCTGGACTCTTTTTGACCGTGTGAATGCACAGAGCGACACCAAAAGAAAATTTGAAAAAATGAGACTCTTTTGAGTCCCAAAGTAAAAGCACACTTTCCGAACAAATTATCAATAAAAATCAACATAGAACCAGGCGGGAAAATTTCGAGGTACGGTCTTTTGAACAAAATTCAAATTCTGTTCAACATAGGGCAAGACGTCTAAATCCCCAAATCCGCTCTGAAGAGCAAATAAAAAATACTCGGGGACATAGATTTCGGCGCGAAAATCCCGAGGTTCGATCTGTTGAGCAAGTTTTAAATACTGTTCAACATAGAACAAGGCGGCAAGATTACCAAATTCGCTCTGAAGAGCAAATAAGAGATACTCTTGATCATAGATCTCGTCGAGAAAATACCGAGATACGTTATGATGAGCAAAGTGGGAACACTAGAAGCAAATGCAAAGAGAACATTCAAGAAGAAATACTGAAATAAGGAGAAAGGAGCGTGATAGTGAAACACAAAGCCGACAGCTTAGTAGGAGGGGTATAAGGGAAAAAATTTTCATTCAGAGACGTCTTAGACAAAGTCAAGTTCGCCTTCGTAGAGATAACCCGGTCAATAGACAAATTGAAAACCAAAGGCAGTCCCAACGAGAGAAAATAATGTTATAGGAACTGATAATAGTGAAAATTTAACAGATTTCCGAAACATTTATTTCCAAAATATAAATAAAGGCCCTACTGAAATATGTATTTGCTGCGGTGGATTATGGCAAATTAAAATTCGAAACTATTGCGCAAGGTCACCCGAATGCTACATCCGACTTCTTTTTATTGCCTTCAGAAGATGGAAATTACAATTTTTGTGCTACTTGCAAAAATGCGACTGTTAAAAAGAACGTTCCAAAAATATGTTTAGCTAACAGTCTAGACTTTCCTGAAATACCGGATTGTTTGAAAGATTTAACCCCAATTGAAGAACATCTCATAATGCCTAGATTGCCTTTTATGACAATCCGTCCATTAGGATATCAAGGTCACTAATACTAATTTCTGTTAACATTATTGTGACATCTCTACCAAAATTCACTTAAGAAGGCGTTTGGAATACAATCATGATTACATGATCGACACTACATTCCTAGAGGCTTCGCGATTGGTTAGATCTTTTCATGCGGAACAAACTTCTCATGATAGTTCCTCAAATAATAATATTCCCACGGGCCTTTTACCTTCAGAGCTAAATCCAAGCAGTCCAGAAACTCTTTTGGAGAATATTCCTGAAGAAAACTTAGACTATACCGTATAGTATATTGAAATATTCGTAGCCGGTATTTTAGACCGTTATGTTCAAAGATCCGATCAGTTAGAAACTCTTTGTTTAGCTGATTTTGCATCTAGGTATAAATATTTTAAATATAGAAGAGCACAAGACAGTGATCATGACGAAGAAGAGAGGGAAGACGATAATTTACCAGAAAGCGGGGTTGTGAAAAAACGTACCAAACCTTGTATTATTCGGTATAGAAGGTTTAACCCAGATTTGGCCAGAGTTGAGTATTTCCGCGAAATGTTAATGCTTTACTATCCTTGGCGGAATGAACAGCAAGATCTCATTGAAAGCGATAATGAGCAGACTTGCATAACACATCGTATGCTGTTGATGTTTCTGAGCAAAGAGAATTTGAAAATGTTCTAGAAAGTCTTTATAATATAATAGACTTAGAGGAAGGTGCTCAAAATGAACTACCTATCGTGGAAAATTACTTCAGAGTGTTGGCACTTCCAGAAATAAACCTAAATAAAAATTTCTGCACTTACATGGTGAAGATTCAACAGATAATGACACTGAATCTGATTGCAATATTAGACTCATTTAACTACCCCCTTCAATTCCAGTTGAGGAATTATATTCTTTGGTTCAAAGTCTATATACTAAGTAAAGAACCTATTTGACATATGAATTGACACACACACCCTATGAATTGACACGAAAAACCTCCGCCAAATACATGATTACACCGAATATAAACACGTGTGATGGCTTGGTTAATGGGGCAGCTGGACAACTTATGCAAATTGATTTTCATTGTTCTTTTTAACAATTCTGTGGATTAAATTTTTGGAACCTTCTGTTGGTTTGATAGCACGATCAGAAAAGCCTCATTCTCTAGAAAGTTCTTGGACACCAATTGAAAAAGTTCTAAAATCTTTTCAATATAAACGAAATGAATAAATTTCAATTGAAAGAAATCAGTTTCCAGTTGTTCCGGCTGAGGGAATAACTCTGAATAACTATTCATAAAAGTCAGGGCGCCACATATAATAAAGTTGTAGTTCATACTCGACCCAGAATGCCTAGAGCTTCAATATATGTCGCCTGCAGTCGAGCTACTACTGCAGAAGGTCTATTCATCATAGGAAGTTGTATTCCTCCTAACAAGTTTTCTGAATCGGATCCAGTATTTAGAGAACTCAGGGAATTGAACACAAAAAAATGTGGAAAACGGTTGGCCTCAAGGGCCATCCCTGCAACTTCCCTCTAATTTCATACGCTAACGTTCAAATTTCGCTTTTTTCACTGCTTTTGAGCTCTTCGAAATTTTTCGTTTTCGATATCTAGCAAGTAAATCAACCGATTTCGACCCGGTTTGCGGCAAACGATGTGTTTCTTCAAGGTTTAGAACTGATTAGTTTTTGGTGTCGATCGGTCAAGAAATTCGGAAAAAACGATTTTTCAAAATTTTTATTTTTGAGATTTCTCAAAATCTACTGGTCCGATTGAGTCCAAACTCACACGAAATTCAAGTGCAATGAAACCCTTTGAAATGCCGTTTAGTTTATTCAAATCGGTTTAAAAGTTATAAGAGGGTCACCTACATCCACACACACACACATACATACAGACATACGGACATCATCGTAGAAATGTTCGGGGAAGCTTCCTCGACCCTCAAAACGTCGAGATCTGTTGAGAACTCGATTTTTGCAAAATGGGGTGAAACCAATATCTTCCCGATTTTTAGAAAATTTTCAATTTTCTTAGCGGGAAGTTAAAAAGTTCTGACAACAAGTTTCAGTTTTATGAATTCCCGAACATCAGGACATAGAATTGTACTCCATAATGTTCAGATTCTTCACGCTCACATTAATGACTGTTTGATGCTATCTTCAGATATTTTATGTTTTGTAGAAATTTGGAGTTATCCTTGCGAAAGTTTTGATATACCAGGATTTACTCCAATTAACGAGCTGAGTATTATAATATTTGCAAAGCATAGTATTGCTTGCACTATAGAATCAAAGGCAGCAAAAAGCAGTTTTATTTAAATGTTTCAATATTAATATTCTGGTTCTATATAGAAATTCCTCTTTCTCTGTCAGACATTTAATTGTAGAACTTCAGGTCCTTACAAGTGCTTACAAGC